GTTTGGTCACTCGTTATGGTCCGCGAACCAGTTGCCAGCGCAAGAGGTTAGACGAGTGAATATAATGAACTAGCATGAACTTACTTAAAATGAGTAAACGAATGACTGATTGTGAAAAAAAAAAAATTATTCCGAATAACTGCTTCTGTTAATTCGAATTATTTGTCACGTGTTCAGCATATGCAATTAAACCTGCTTAAATCTCAACTTATATTATTATAAAATCTACCATAAAACGTACTGTTACAAGTCTAAAAAAATTACGATTTAGTTTGGTTAGCTCAGACGTTAAGATTCGTGCGTGCATGTCTAAATAAAAAAAAAAAATTTTTTTTTTAACACGCACGTGAGTCACACACAATGATGACATCATAGTCAAATAAAAAAATAACTGACCGACCGTCGACTAAAATTACGAAACACATTTCTGATCCTTCTCACAGCAAATACGTAGTCAACAAATCTTGAATTGTGAATTCAAAGGTATTTCGTCACACACGAGCGAATTATCGCGTAAAATTGGACTCGCGGTATTGAGATTCGCATATAAACAGACGTGCTTACATTTACATCTAGTTACTTTGACCTCCAGTCGTGAAGACTGGATTTCATGCCGATTTTCCAGATAAAAGAGCAGGCCACGTCTCTTTCGTCTCTGACCGTTTTAGTTTATCGCTACGAATTACCATGCGAACGTCTGTCTAGACGTATTCTCTATCTCTCTCTCTCTCTCTCTCTCTCTCTCTCTCTCTCTCTCTCTCTGTAGAGCCTTAATCTCTTACTTTTCAAAGCAATTCATTAAGAGATCAGCTCCAGCCAAAAGCCAGTTGCTAGTTTTAATATTTATGAAAATATCGATTAGATTCGACCCAATAGTATATTTCTTTTCTAACCTATCCGGAAACGAAGTTCCATATTGTTCGTTCTTTCTGTATTTTTATAAAGTAAATTAAACGTACATTTGTTTCACAATCATTCTTCTCAAACGATTGCTATATATGCAGTGATTATTTACACACTGTGGCCTTTCGATGTGACCTTCGAATATGCGTTTCTGTCAAAGTCACGGTCCTTCCAACGAAGAACCAAGACTTCACCTCGCATCTTTCACACCAAGTTTCGACTTGATTTCTTATCGATCAGAATGCTACAATAATCGAAATTATATCACAGCAATTGAAATTATATCACAGATGATACATTTGCGCATTTCTCATACAAAGAGAAATTTCGTCACTCACGAAACTTCGTCGCATCCGTTAGGTTAGGTTGTATCTACAAGATAAATTCCCCTTCCTCTCGTCAGTTTGCTAGACAACGTGGAAATTATCAGTCACGATGGTGTGCAATCCGATACAAATAAAAAAACGTAGTAACGATAACTAGAAAGAAACAACGAATTTTATTTTACTTTTATTTATTAGAAATCAAAGTAATTCTGTATCATGGCTACTTAATACCAATATCAGTCAAAATGGCTGATGCTTGTCAAAGTGTAAAAGGCTCCTACAATCTGTTTACCCGAGAGCTGTAATCAGTTTCGTACAACACTTGTCACACGTTTTTAGAATTTATACTGCTATCGTTCGATATGATGGTGACAATTATCAGGACAATTACGCATTTTGTAATATCTTGCACGGAATTAGAAGCTTCTCGAGTTTTGGGTAAAAAGAAAGTGGGGATCAAACTTCTTTCCCAACACCATGAAATGATTTTACCGAAATATTGAGATTTATTTGCTTTGGAAAAAGAAAAAGAAGGTGATAAAGTCAACGTTTACAAAGTGATAAAGTTTGCTTTGATATCAGCTGTATGGGATAAGTTTATTCAAAATAGTCAGAGTCGCTGCAAACTAGGTGCAAATATTACAATTGGCAAACAACACTTTCCATCTAAAGCCAGATGCAGATTTATTCAATATTTGCCGAACAAACCCGACAAATTTCGTATTAACTGTACACTACGTAACATTGGATTTCTTTCGTAAGAAATTAATAAATATCAAGATATTCCATTATTACGTCTTTTTTTTTTTTTTAAGTCATTTTGACTGGTTTTGCTAGAGGAATAGCGGTTCGCGTTCATAATCGCTTTGACGCCGCGCCAAAACGACCGGTTAAAACTGCGGGATTTAGTTTGAAAAAAATCCCTCGCGGGACGCGTAATTAAAATCAAGCAACGACGAGTATACACGTCGCAGGGCAAACATAGGCAACAAGTTAGCTGCGTAACTTTCGTTTCGGTGCGGTTCGACGTACATACTCGTCGTGTCAAATGGAAATTACCATTCACTTTGAGAAACTCCAGACTCCAATAATGAAAATGTCATTCGGTGGCATAAAACTGCTATGTACTTTATAAAAAAAAAAAAAAAGTTCGATTGTTCTATATATATTATTATATTCGATTGTTCTATATATATATATATTCGATTGTTCTATATATATATATGTATATTATTTAGTATTATTGTATTATATATAATATATACCAAAGAGAATAATCAAACTTTTTTTTATAAAATACAGAGCAGTTTTACTGATAATATAAATGAAACAATGACATTTTTATCATTTCTGATTGAAATTTGGAGTTTTTATTTAATATATACGTCGAACGCAGTTAACTGGTTTAGGTTAGGTTTAAGACAAGAAATTGTGGCAATTTTACCGTGGCTTTGAATCAAAAATATTGCATTCGTTGTTGTATAGACACACGTTTGATATATCGATAAATGAGATTCAAGAAACTATGAGTGCCTTAAGCTTTAAATGAAATTTTCGTATTTTTCGCGAGTAGTGCTGTAGTCCACATACCGGGTGTGTCAGAAATCGTGAACAACCAACTAGAGAAATGAAAACATTGCCTCGACCTTTAAAAATGAACGATGATCACAAATTTATAAAATTTCGATGAAAAGTTGGTTATTTTGATCAAACTGGTAATTCCAGTGATAAATCAGTCGTATCTAAAAAAAAAAAAAAAAATCCTAGATACATCAAACCACTCGAAGACGATATTCATGTACAACTGTAATACAAATGACATATCTATATTTTTATTAAACAACGTGCATCGAAGTGGTATGATATAACTTGATAAAGCAGACAAGTTAGTCGCACGTGCACAGATCGCTAATTATTCAGTCGCTTTAATTAGATCTACTGTTCCCCAAGTTTCGTTTTAAAATCATTTTTGGACTTTTTACATATTTTTACATGTTTTTAAACTCTATATTTTTTTGTGAAATTTTCGTTATCGTATTGAAAAATCACGAACTGGTCAATTTTCAGTTGCACATTTCATGCATTTTCACGTACAAATCTTTTTATCTATAACACTGATTGAAATTGTATTTTAACTATTCGTATACGCTGTGTTATATATGAAAAGTGCCATTGTTAAGTTTTTCATTTACCATCTCAGTTTCCCGATCTAGATCCCATAGAAATTGACTATAAAATTCGTGAAAAATTAAACGAATTAAATCTCCAAGATATTCGTACCAAGTTTTATTCTATAAAAAAGATATTTTTTATAAG